AAACAAGATGCTGTATTATACACTATAAGTTCATATGACAAGACAACACAACATTGAACAAAAATCAAGATAATTTTTTTTGTCATGAAAGGAAGTTCAGTAAAAGAATGCTTGATGTCTTAGCATTTACCCCATAGTACTATCGAAATGCAGGAAAGGACAACTTCTATTCAAAACTCTTGGGGTGGAAGGGGGTGGGCAACCTCACAACAAAATTCAGGCAACAATACAGCCTTCAATGAAACTAAACCTAAATATTGAAAAACTACACTTTATAAATGTATAAACTAAATGTGGTAAACCGGTCTGAGAAAATATATAAATCTTTTGTGTCATTTTAAAAAAAAATTACCAACTGTATTATGAAATTATGTCACAAGTGCTAATAGGCGAGTGACTTTAACCATTAAATAAAATTTAAATGCACCCACCTAACACACGGCTAAATTATATATCATTTGAAAGCTACACATCTGTACTATCTGTTTTGCCCGGTCGTAAAAAAATTGTACGGTGCAATTTCCGTCAAATCAAGATCAAAGGCCAAGGACGAATAAGTGCATATTTTCTAAGATTTCAGCTTGATTGCATAATATAACCATTTAAACTTTTAGCAGAGAGATTAACGGTCATTAATCAAATGCATTTTAAAATATTTAAAACGTGTTTTTGATAGACAGCACATGTTTCCTGAAATTCGAGTAAAAGTTAACAAAATGTGTGAAAACCCAAATTTTTCTTTCTGATGCAACTGCTAATCACTTAAAACTTTAGTAAAACCTTGTAATAACTATCAAAGAAGTTTTTGACACAATAAATTTCCTAAAATTATGCTTACTTCTAATCAAACAGCAAATCATAACAACTCATGCAATTGCCCAAAATACCGCCATCTGCGAAAAAACAGCTTTTAAGCATTTCTTCCTATTTAAACATTGTATGTGGTCAATATAAGAATTAATAGACAAATTCTTAAGAATCTGAAAAATTTAAAGTAAAACAATATGTGTGCGAATCATACTATTGCTTGAAATAAAGGGGGCGAAACAAAGAGATTACAATCTGCATTGTAACTACCAGACTGAAATAAACATCTTTTGACTTTTCTAATTGTTTGATTTGTAGCTTCATTATAAATATTGATGTAGTGAAAAGACCTTTTATTTATTTAATGTGAACCATAAAAAATAAATTGAAAATTCAGACAAAAATAAATAATAAATAAATTGATGAAAATTGAAATTTAAAAGAATTTAAAAACCAGTAAACACATTATAAAACTTGACTTCTTGATTGCTTGAATTGCGTTGTTCATTGTTTAAATGCATTAATTCATCAAATAAGAATAATTTTGAAGAAAAAAATCCATTAATACGCGACGATTCTAGTTACAACTAGACTTTCTGAAAATAGCTTGAATGACTAGTTCATTTTTCATACGAGGATGACTTCATGCAAGAGCTTCTGATGACGACTGAAAAGAAGCTACCATTATCTTGAAACTTCACTTTCCACTATATAGATGATGACATCTCGCTGAATAGTGCCAAATTTGTCACAATGTTGGACTCGTATTTTCCATTGAAATTTAAAAAAAAGACTCAACAGATATAGTTTACTCTAACACTTATCTTGAAATCGATGATGAGGGTTGGTTGAGAACAAGTTTTACGACGACTAAAGAGATGAGCATAAATCAACCCATAAAACACTCCTTACTAACCAATTATAAACTTTTCATTTCTATGTAGCAATATTATAGCATATCTATACTATTAAAGGAGGAGACAGATTTCATTGAGCCTCAACTCCTCTGAAACAATAACAAGTCGGAATATTTATGATATGACGTATAAATGTAGGGTTTTGCATTTTCTAAATTTGTCTTTGCATGCTCAGTCGACGTACTGCCCGCAAAATGAAATAAAACTCTTTATTTAAACACTTGCCCAATTGTAACGCGATTTTGCGGCATCTTCTTGTGGAGTATATATCTCCAAGTTGATACAATATTCCAGAGCTTGCATTTACGTTTACGATTGTCGTGATAGTGCGTAACTGCTCACAATGAAGATATTAAATAAAGGCAACTATAGTATACCGCTATTCAATAGTCATCAATCGATTTACTAGTAACTGAAACAAATCCGGGTCACAAACCAAAACCGTGGGAAACGCATCAACTATAAGAGGAACACAACGGAATAACAGAAACACTGAACTGCTACAAAAACAAACATTAACATACAAAGAAACAGATTATTCGATACCAACTGCCATATGCCTGACTTGGTACAGGACATTTGAAGAAAAATGGTGGTTTGAACATGGTTTTAAACCAGAGTTCAAATGCAAAGTTGAAATCATCCCTTTGAAAATTTTATGGACGCCACTACGAGTTGGTTGATAATTATGAAATATCTGTTTTGCCAGATGACGACTGATAAGTTCCAATCGACGTAACCAAAATACCGTCATTTCTGCCTTGAATGTCACCTACCGAATAAGGCTTGGCACCGGGGTAGGAATTACACGAGACACAAGACGGGTGTCACATGTGGAACATGATCTGCTCACCCTTTTGGAGCCCCTGAGTTCACCCCAAATATTTTTTGGGGGTTTGTGTTACTCAATCTGTAGTTTTATATGTTGTGTTTTGTATACTGTTGCTTGTCTTGTTCGTTTTTTGCCCGGCTTTGTCAGTTCGTTTTCAATTATGAGTTTGATGTCCCATTGATATATTTCGTCACTCTTCAAGTAGTAAAAAATTTTAAAATTGTAGATCATTGTAGTTAAATGTATCATGATAACGATTTGGTTCTATATATATATATATCACCGTGAGCAAATTAAGTTATTTTCGCGGATATTTGTCTTATTGCGTTAATCTTCTTCACTTTACTTTGAGGCGATTTTTTTGCCGATTTTCATTACTGCAAGTTAATATCTAAAGTGAAATAATACCAAAGGGACAATCAACATCTCAAACCACGAATCAAATAAACTTATTTAAAACCATGAACAAAATAAAATTAAAGTCCAAGAGACGAACAACAGTCCACAAAACACAGCATAGCATGAAAACGATCACTGCCTAAAACAGCGAATGATTTTATGAGGTCAGGAAGGTATTCAACTTTTTCATTTTTTTATTTCACAACAGCTTATAGTGTTTTACATACACAATACCCTGCATTTGTATTTTAAAAGCTTATGTTGAAAGTACTCAATCCTATCTCTATACCTTTGAAATTTGGTTTGTGAGAATAAAGATATATAGAAGCATCTTTTATTCAAATAATTAAAGAGATTAAACTTCTAAACACATTTAATATGTCTAACACGATTTTAAACTAAATAAGAAGCAGCAGCATTATATGTAGTTCGTTTACATCCCGCTATAGACAACCAAGTGTTTCTGAACAAGGTTACTTATTTCAATGTTGCCTACGATTTAGTCGCAAAGTCATGTTTGCATTTAAACATGATTAAAAAAAGTAAATAAGTTTGACTTCGTAAAAAACATATTTTTACCTCAATTAGCTCGTATATATTCTTTTCGAACTTTAAATACCCCTTCTTTTATTATGGAAAATCATTCTCCTCCCTGATATTGACAATTAGCGATGTGCTATCTTAACATAGAATAACAAAATAATCGCTATTTGCAGATGGCAGATTTTTGGGCAACTGCAAACACTTCAATAATAGAAGGCTGTTCTATGAACAATAATTAATAATTGCATCTTAAAATTACAAAACAAATATTCCTTGACCTAAAACATATTATTTATTTATTTTTTTAACATACAAATATCGATCCCCCAAGATATATTTTGCTCTTGGAACAATTTTTCATTTTTTAAGGATTTGTGATGAATTTCAATTTTCAGGAAATATTGCGCATATAACCTTATTTTTTGTTTGATTTGGAAATAATGTATTATGTTATATAAAGTTCATATGATCTTTTGAAAAATGTTATGGTACAAGAATTAGAAAATGGCTTTTTGTTTAGTAATCGCAAAAATTGGAATGTTTTTTCATGACCTTTGACCTTGATTTAACAGAAAATGCACTGTACGATTTTTTTACGACCGGACAAAACAGAAAGTACAGATTATTAGCTTTCGAATGATATATAATACAGCCGTGTGTTAGGTGGGTGCATTAAAGTCGTTAACTAAGCGTCTTTTTGAAATAAGTCACTTGCCTATAATTTGGTAAATATTATTAATGACCATGTATGTGACATTTTTTTATAAAAGTAAACAATTATTTTATGTTTATGTCACAACACTTGTGTCACAAGATTTCATATAATCCTTTTAATTGTTTCTGAAACAAAAAAGTTCATTTAAAATTGCTTAAGTACTCTTTATAGAGTAGGACATTATATGATTACCTTTATACCAGCTGTTAAGTACAAGTCACATTCAACATTCACTGTTGAGGCTTTCCAATCGAAAATTGTATTTTAAAACCTTTTATGTGTTTGTAGATGATATTTGTGTTTTATGACTATGACATGTGTTATGTAGATGGTATTTGTGTTTTATGACTATGACATGTGTTATGTAGATGGTATTGTTGCTTTATGACTATGACATGTGTTATGTAGATGGTATTGTTGCTTTATGACTATGACATGTGTTATGTAGATAATATTATTGTTTTATGACTATGACATGTGTTATGTAGATGATATTTGTGTTTTATGACTATGACATGTGTTATGTAGATGATATTTGTGTTTTATGACTATGACATGTGTTATGTAGATGATATTTGTGTTTTATGACTATGACATGTGTTATGTAGATGATATTTGTGTTTTATGACTATGATATGTCTTTGTAGATGATATTTGTGTATTATGACTGTGACATTTTGTGTTTTGTAGAAGAACACATAAGAGTTATGCTATTTGTTGTATTTGACAATAACATGTGTTTTGTATATGATATACCTGTTTTATGACTATGTGATGTGTTTTGTAGATGAACACAGTAGAGTTATATTACCAGACAGTGAATGGGATCCACTCTCATCATATATCAATGCAAATTATATTAGGGTAAGACTACAGTTTATTTAAAATAATTTTTATGTACTTAGTATTGCAGGGTTGCTGTTCTCTATATCATATCTGATTTAAGTTAAGTTGTTTGTCATTGTATATCAATACTTCTTATATCCTAAAAGAGCAGTTGCATTTTCATACATGCTTACCATTATGAATAAACTGTTCACAGAAAATAAGAGATAAGGTGTATTAATTCATGACACAAAATTCCTACTCAGTTGCATAAACTCACAGTAATAGTAAATTCATAGGACAGGAATAACACTTTAATACATGTTCCTCATCTCAGAGTGTCAGTGAAGCCATTAATGCTGATCAAAAACTTGCAGCTCATTACTAGTTCAGGAGAGTCCATAATTTTTGTCGAGCCTGCGACTTTTGTCGCAGAAAGCTCGACATAGGGATAGTGATCCGGCGGCGGCATTAGCTAACTTCTTAAAAGCTTTATATTTTAGAAGGTGGAAGACCTGGATGCTTCATACTTTGTATATGGATGCCTCATGTTACGAAGTTTCCGTCAGTCACATGTCCAATGTCTTTTACCTCATTTTCATGGTTCAGTGACTACTTGAAAAAAAAGTTTACATTTTTTGTAATGTTAAATTCTCTCTTATTATAAGTAGTAACATAACTATATTTGGTATGTGCGTACCTTGCAAGGTCCTCATGCCCGTCAGACAGTTTTCACTTGGCCTCGACCTCATTTAATGGATCAGTGAACAAGGTTAAGTTTTGGTGGTCAAGTCCATATCTCAGATACTATAAGCAATAGGTCAAGTATATTCGGTATATGGAAGGACTGTAAGGTGTACATGTCCAACTGGCAGGTGTCATCTGACCTTGACCTCATTTTCATGGTTCAGTGGTTATAGTTAAGTTTTTGTGTTTTGGTCTGTTTTTCGTATACTGTATGCAATAGGTCAACTATATTTGGTGTATGGAATGATTGTAAGGTGTACATGTCTTGCTGGCAGGTGTCATTTGACCTTGACCTCATTTTCATGGTTCAGTGGTCAAAGTTAAGATTTTGAGTTTTGTTCTTTTTTTCTAATACTATATGCAATAGGTCAACCATATTTGGTGTATGGAAATATTTTATGATCTATATGTCAGTCGCGCAGGTTTTATTTGACCTTGACCTCATTTTCACAGTTCATTGCTCAGTGTTAAGTTTTTGTGTTTTGGTCTGTTTTTCTTAAACTATAAGCAATAGGTCAACTATATTTGTTGTATGGAAGAATTGTTAGCTGTACATGCCTGCCTGGCTTGGTTCATCTGACCTTGACCTCATTTTCATGGTTCATTGGTCAATGTTTAGTTTTCTTGGTTAATGTTAAGTTTATATGACAGTTGTAATAAAGCTTTATATTTAGGACTATCAACACAATATCAGTGATTAGTAAAGAAGGCGAGACATTTCAGCGTGTGCATTCTTGTATGAATTTAGCCTTGAAATAACATCATTAAGGTCAACTATCTATTAGTACTGAACTGATGCCTATTGTTAATTTGATAAATATAAAAATATGATGATGTAGTATAATTGCCCAATGAGACAACTTTCCACCAGAGACCAAATGGAAGTTAGCAACTCTAGGTCACTGTACAGTCACCAACAATGAGCAATATGGCCAAGCAAGTGATAAAGGGCCCTGACATGACAAATGTAAAACAATTCAAGTGAGAAAACTAACAGCCTGATTTTTCTACAAAACAATAAACAAAAAATAAATCTGGTATACAGCAACAAACAACAACCACTAAATTACAGACTCCTGATAGGTTTGGTATTCACAATCACTGTTTCGATCATTTATTGCACATAAAATGTTAATGAGCTGATCTCCCTTGTCAAACTACTACTGCCTATCACCTGTATGGATTTAAAGCCTTTTGACGAATGACATTGTGTAATTGCGGACATCATCTACTGTATATGCAGAAATTATTACGTGCATTTATTATTGCGATTTTTGAAGAATGGACAAAAATGCAAGATTAATTATTGCAATTTCAGGAAAATCTGCATATAGATATATATATCAGATATCAGAATGTGAGTTCTTATTTTAAGAATTGAATGCTTCTTTTTGTAAATTCAATGGGGTGTAAAAGCGTTGACCGAAGTACATTTTGTATGAAGCGTGGAAGCGCTTCATTCTAAAAATGTACACACAGTCAACGCTTTTACAACCCTATGAAATTACTAAAAGAAACATTCAATACTTATTACATTTTTTCGCTATGATCATGAAAACACGATTACTATCATTTTTTTCTTTTATTTACCTGTGCACTTTATTGTGGAAACGTGTGTCATCATGTATGTTACAATTCATGAAATTCATTTTGAAATGAAGAATGACGCAAGATTGCTGTTAGCTAATTAGAATAATGTACAATAATGAAACATACATCTAATGTAATTATATTGCCATAACCACAAAGAGGCATTATTCGCATTAATAAAACCTCACAATAATTTCTGAATTTACAGTATCCAAATGTGACAAAAAAGTTTGCTGGTTGCTTTAACAAAACAAACTATAATATACTGTTGAATAATTATTATTTGTTGGGTATTAATTTTCATACAATTTAAGGGTTAAGGTAAGCCATGAATTTAAATGTTGAACAAAATAAAAAATGTTGTTAAAACAATGAAATCAAGGTTGAATGAAATACAATTAACTTGACAGCATTTGGTAGCAAAACATACAAAATAAATCCTGTTGCCTTGTGTTGTTGAAGATGTTTTATTCATGGCCCTTTGTTAATCTGTTTATAAAACAGCTTGACAGAATTCAACCAAACGACATATTCTTTTACAGGACACGGAGTTGTGCACATGTTATTTATATTTTTGATCTGAATGATGTTTTCGGTCTATAAAAAAAAAATGGACTTCTTCTGAAAACAGTTTCTTAAGCCACAACTTCTGAAAATGGCTGGACAGAATTTTACCAAACATGCAAAGAATAGTCAACAGGAGTTGTGCACCTGCTATTTTAACTTTCAATTTGATTTATTCTAGGAATTTCCATACCAAAACATTGACTTACCGGTAGCTGTTAATCCTTATATTATTTAGAGAGGGCAGGCAGCTGTTAATCCTTATATTATTTGGAGAGGGCAGGCAGCTGTTAATCCTTATATTATTTGGAGAGGGCAGGCAACACACATCTTCCTTGAAAGACTCAAACATTTCTTTTTGTAGGGATGTCAATAAAAACCACTGAAATTCATTGCAACACAAGGCCTAATGTTATGTTATTTTTCTCTTGTGTAGGGATATGAATGTGAACCACACACCTACATTGCCACACAAGGCCTAATGTTATGTTATTTTTCTCTTGTGTAGGGATATGAATGTGAACCACACACCTACATTGCCACACAAGGCCCAATGTTATGTTATTTTTCTCTTTTGTAGGGATATGAATGTGAACCACACACCTACATTGCCACACAAGGCCTAATGTTATGTTATTTTTCTCTTGTGTAGGGATATGAATGTGAACCACACACCTACATTGCCACACAAGGCCTAATGTTATGTTATTTTTCTCTTGTGTAGGGATATGAATGTGAACCACACACCTACATTGCCACACAAGGCCCAATGTTATGTTATTTTTCTCTTTTGTAGGGATATGAATGTGAACCACACACCTACATTGCCACACAAGGCCTAATGTTATGTTATTTTTCTCTTGTGTAGGGATATGAATGTGAACCACACACCTACATTGCCACACAAGGCCTAATGTTATGTTATTTTTCTCTTGTGTAGGGATATGAATGTGAACCACACACCTACATTGCCACACAAGGCCTAATGTTATGTTATTTTTCTCTTGTGTAGGGATATGAATGTGAACCGCACACCTACATTGCAACACAAGGCCCAATGTCACATACCATTGTAGATTTCTGGAGGATGATTTGGTATGAAAAGTCACCAATCATTGTCATGATTACTAAACTTAAAGAAAATAATAATGTAAGTACAAGTAATTAATTATAATGAAAACTTTATATAGATATATAAGGTTTTGTAAAAGTCGTAACATTTTAGGAGCAGCCATCTTGGAACATTGATTGTTTACAACATGCATTTTCTGTATTTATTTGCCGTTGTGTGAATATGTTTTGAGAGCCTTGATATATTCTTTCAATTGCCTGGGATTCTAGCCAAGTCTACTCTGCATCGGTAGTGAGTCAGGATACCAGTTAAATTCTTGCTGATGCTTTATTATTGTGGATTCGTTATTATTCGTTGGATACCAATTTTGCGTGGATTTCATGGGTAAAGGTCAACCAAAAATTTAAATGTTCAACGAAGTATGAATTTTCCATAGGCTTGTATGCAGACCACACATATAAAAAAATCTTCAAAAATACAATATTTCCTTAACCCATGAAAATGAATTAATCCACAGTATGTGGAAATCAGAACGAAAATGTTAGATTTTTTATGCTATTTCATCCTTGTTTCAAAATAGAAACAAAGAATTTTCTTTTCATGCCCCCTCCCCCCCCCCCCCCCCCCCCCCAGTAGCAGAGGGGGCATTAATTAAGTTTTACCCTTGTCCGTCTGTACAAAACACAGATCACGTTTGAATTTTTGTGGCATCACTTTTACGGTTCTAGAGTTCTGCCCCTTTAAAAATGGAGAAATTGCTGAAATGTTCGTTTCTGTTCTCTAACTTAAGTTTGCCTCAACTAAATGTTATGAAACTTATGCACAATGCTAATTACCACAAAACACAGATCAAGTACAAATTTGGGTAGCGTCACTTTGACAGTTCTTAATTTATGTCCCTTTATAACGTTATGTGCAAGCGGGGGCATCATCTGTGTCCCATTGACACATTCCCCATTTATTTTATTTTTTTTAGTGGGGAAAATTATTTTTTAAACTAACAATCCATAGTCATCGTATTTAAATGGATTGAAATATAAACACAGCGGCCGATTTACATACTAACAGTTATGAGAAATATAAGCCCGATAGTTTGCCATTAATGAAATGCAAAATACTGGTAACTGTGTAAGTCTTTGACAAGGAAAACAATAATAATAGATGTATTTTTCTGCTACATTATGTGTTTGCTTTCTGTCAAAAATGATAGCATCTTATATAATTTTTGTACATGTGATATTTGTAGATTAAATGTGAGAACTATCTACCAGAGGACAATAGTTCTTGTACATTTGGTGATATAGAAGTTAAGGTTGAGAAAGTGAAAGTAAAGCAAGGATACACAGTTAGATATTTAACATTAAAGGTAGGTGTCTTCTTTAAAGTGAAAGGAAGTAAAAAAAATTCTAAAATTACATGTAGTTGGTCTTTGAAAGTTTCAAACAATAGATTATTATAACACAGTTAATTTAATCTGTGTATTAGAGAGTCACAAGTATTGTTACTGAATGTACTAAATAGAAATAGAAATACACTGTAAAATAAATCATTCTCTTCTAAATTCATTGTCAAAAGTGCCAAGATTGAATGACATATCATGAATATTAGCAGGGGCCTCGGTGGCCGAGTGGTCTAAGTAGTTATTACTGTAATCACTAGCCAGTCAACACTGAGGTTGTGATTTCGAACCCCGCTCGTGCGGGTGCACTCGACTCCAATCTTAATTGACTAGGATTGTCAGTTTTCCTATCGAAGGTAGGTGGTTTTCTCCGGGCACTCCGGCTTCCTCCACCAATAAAAACTGGCCGCCACGAAATAGCCCAAAAGCGGTGCTTAAAAGTGGCGTTAAAACACCAAAAATCAAAATCAAAATCATGAATATTAGCTGCTTTCTGATTATTGTAAGGTGGAAAATTTTGTGAGGGTTTTATTTTCGCTTACTTCACTATTAAGATAAAATTGTTAACTTTCTTCTCGGTAAATTTTATCTTTAAAGAAGATCAGATTAAGAAAACGATTGATTGACTGATTGTTAGATTTAGTGCCAATGTGAGATCTATTTTCTATATCGTGGTGGTAAGTTTTTATTGGTGGAGGAAGGCAGAGTGCCTGGTGAGAATCACTGACCTTCCGCTGGGAACCTGACAATCAAAAATAAGAAAAATGTGAAATAAAACCAGGCAAACTGGTTTAGCCTTTGATGTCGCGAAATTTAAACTCGACGAAAAGAAAATGTTTTAGAGTTAACACAAAAAACTTTTGCTCCTCAGATTTAATATTTTACATGTTTTGGTCATAATTCGATATAAGTTTAGAGAGAGAATAAAACTACTGATTCATAATTTATTTTAGTGTGATGCGGAATGTTACATGTATTACATTACTGGCACATATTTGTTATTGGATTGGTCTGGATATGTCACATATGTTACATTTTTTGTACAATTTTTGTATACTTTTAGTGTGATAGAGAAATGCAATATTTATGTTACATTACCGATTGTTCTATTTTAGTGTGATGGAGAAATTATACATGTCTTACATTACTGGTACACAGCATGGCCTGATCACAAACCACCACAGTCAGCAAAAATGCTTTTAGAACTAGTTAAAGATGTAGAAAATAAAAGATTAAAAATACAACCCAGTAAAGGACCAGTTGTGGTACATTGTAGGTAAGGGATAATTTCAGTTTTGGCAAACATATATATTTTCATGGTATATTATCTTTTACATACATTCACTGTTTTATAATGTTATGATAAATTATTGGGATATGGTTGCAGTATTTTTTGGATACTTTAAACTAGGTTTCTGTTAATCTCAAATTAAGTAAAACACTTAACTAAGAAAATTACTAATTTTATAGACACCTTTTTATTCGGCTGTATAATGGTATGGCGATGTTGTCGTCCTTGTCTGAAGACATTTGGTTTCCAGACAATAACTTGAGTATAAGTGTATTGATTTCTATGAAATCTACAAGGTTCCATACCACTAAAGGATGGTTGGGATTGATTTTTGGTGTTATGGCCCTAACAGTTTAAGAATTTGGGCAAAAAAAGGCCAAAAGCAAACATTCTTCTGGTTTCTGGACAATAACTTGAGTATAAGTATATGGATTTGTATGAAATTGTACCACAAGGTTCCATACCTCAAAAGGAAGGTTGGATTGAATTAGGGGTTTTGGACATACCCACTTAGGAATTAAGGGCTAAAAAGGGGTAAAAAAAAAACCAATTGAATTGCTTATTTCTGACCAATTTCGAATGGGTTTAAATAATCATGAAATATTGGGTTTCTTTGATATGCTCAATCTCACCTTGTATTTAGAGTTTTGATTTTGGGCCATACAGATTGATTAAATACACAAACATTAGTATCTCACAAATAATAATGAATCCACAGTATATGTCTACTAATCAATGTTAGATCAAATCCTCATAACTGAAAACAAATCCCATTACACTTATTAGACAGTTGATGTATTGCTTTATTTTTGCACTTAATTTGTATGATGACTATGTTTTGTAGTGCTGGCATAGGAAGAACAGGATGTTTCATAGCTATAACCATTGGAATGAGACAACTAAAGGAAGAACACTCTGTAGATATACTGGGTATTGTCTGTCACATGAGAATTGATAGGTATTATAAACTTTATATATATATGAAAATAATGAGATGTGGTACGATTGCCAATGAGACAACTATCCAAAAGAGTTCAAATGATGTGGATAAAAGCAATTATAGGTTACTGTACGTCTTTCAATCCATACCATATTGGCATATATAAAAGGCCCTGATGTAGTCTCACCTGAAAATCTAAAGGTAAGTTAAACTTGATATAGTCTGTCACATGAGAATTGATCTGTAAGTTAAACTTGATGCAGTCTGTCACTATGAGAATCGATAGGTAAGTTTTAACAAACTTTTATTGGCAGATATAAAAGGCCCTGATATAGTCTCACATGAGAATCGATAGGTAAATTAAAGTTGATGCAGTCTGTCACATGAGAATCAATAGGTAAGCTAAACTTTATAAAGTACGTCAATTGAGAATCTATAGGTAAGTTAAACTTGATGTAGTCTGTCACATGAGAATCGATAGGTAAGCTTAACTTGAAATAGTCTGTCACATGAGTATACCGTTAGGTAGCTTAACAGATAGTGAACCAACACTCCATGTGGCAGTACAAATCACTGAAGTAATCTTATCCAATAATGTTTAATATTGATATAATATACAGTTCAAGTTGTTACATACATGTGGTGAGTGCGTGTGGTAAAAAGCTACAATAGAAAAAAGGAAACCTTATACTAGCTGATAAAAAATACAATTTAAAGAATACACAGATAAAGGTAAATTATAGAATCAAAACAATGTATTTGTTTACCAAAAAGCTCGAGAAACGTAGACAAATAATCCTATATATGAAAAATACCAATATATATAGTCTTGACATAAAACAATATATCTCTGATGGGTTGCCATACTTTAGAAAAATATCCAAATATTCATGTGATATGTCTTGTACAATAAACTCTATAATATTAAATATATCTCAAAAATACACATGCATCTGTATAAAATAAACATCATATATCAAAAATTAACTTACATATTGGTCTGCCAGCATAGGATGACCAAGTTCTAGTTAGATTCAAAACATTTGTCAACCTTGTTGTGGTACACAACATCTATGAGTATACACAGGAAACAGGAAATTAACTCTTTAAAGTGAAAGTGAAAGTACTCATTAAAATGAAAGTACAGGTAATTATAAAAATAAAAAGTAAAGGTAAATTTACCTGGAATGAAAAGTGAAAGTAGTACTAAAATGAAAGTACAAATGTAAACAAAGACAATTAGACAAAAATTAATAAAGTTATCAAATTATAGAAGGAATGAAACAGCACACTCCCCGTCTGATATGAAAAATATCACCATACTCATAGAGCAAAAACGTTCTTATCAAAACAAACTTACCAGTGTTCAAAAATACTACATTTCAGTCAAATACTTGTTAAACTTCTTAAATAAAGGTCTCAACTATGACACAGTAAAACAATTTGGCTGATTGGGCGCACATACACACGATGTTGTTTGTCTCTTACAACCCTCAACTGAACTTTACGGATCAAATTGTCTCTACCGGGAAAAACACGTTCAACAAGACCTATTGGCCAGTTATTTCGATGGAGTTCATTGTCTTTAAGAAGCACTAAATCACCTACTTGAATGTTTTGTTTGATGTGCTGCCATTTGCGACGAGTTTGTAACGACTGCAAATATTCTTGTCGCCAACGTGTCCAAAATTTGTCTGCTAAAACCTGAACAAATTTCCACTGATTTGTGTAAACATCATGCGTGTTCAAATGGCTGAAGTCCTGAATATTTTCACTTACTTTCTGTGTTAGCAAAGTATTTGGAGATAAGATAAATGGTGAGTTAGGATCGGATGAAATAGGCACTGAAGGACGAGCGTTCATAATAGCTGTTGTTTCTGCCATGAAAGTACACAAGACTTCATGTGTGAGTCGATGATGTCCTGCTTCAAACAATATTGAGTCCAATATTTGTCTTGCTATGCCAATGAGACGTTCCCATGAACCTCCCATATGGGACGAGTACGGTGTATTGAATTTCCACACAGTTTTTTGTTCTTTCATGAATGATTGAAACAGTGAGTCCTCAACAAAAATAGCTTCTATGCCGAGCTCTCGGGCGCCGCCGATAAAGTTGGTTCCTCTATCAGAAAAGAATTCTTTAACATATCCTCTGATTGATATGAAGCGGCGAAGTGAATTTATAAAGGATGCGGTAGTCATCTCTTCAATTATTTCAATATGCACACCTCGACATGAAAAACAGACAAATAATACAGCCCATCGTTTTGAATTTGCGCTTCCACCACGAGTCCGTCTTGTAACAATGTTCCAGGGTCCAAAACAATCAACGCCAACGTATGTAAATGGTGGGCATGCTAAAAGTCTTTCTTCTGGAAGATCAGCCATTTTTTGAGACGAAAAAGTACCTCTAAACCTTAGGCATAAAATGCAACTTGAAACAATTGAGTATATCAAACGCTTGAGACCGGTAATCCAGTAACCAGCAGTCCTGATTGCGCCCTCGGTAATATGACGTCCCTGATGGTGGACTTTATCGTGGTAATGTAACACTAGTAATCTCGCAATATGGTGTTTACCAGGAATTAAAATAGGATTCTTTTCACCAAGTGTCAATGTAGAGCGATTCAATCTACCTCCTACTCGCAAGATACCATGTGCATCCAGTATTGGGTCAAGTTTTAAAATCGCACTATTTTTGGGAACATGCTGGTCGGTATTTAAAGAATCTATTTCGTGTTGAAAGAATTCCTTCTGTACTTGTCGAATGATCAATGTTTCGGTACCCTTGATAAATTCTGGAGTGTCCTTTTCAGCGCAAATATGCCAACCTTTGCAACGAGATGTAGGTGCACTACTTAATGTCTTAGCTATGTGTCTTAAGAGTGATAATGATCTAACGAGAGATCTCCAACTAGAAAACTTGCTGAATCGTTGAGAGTTAATCTGTAGACTGTCAATTTGTGTTTTACGTGAAACAATTTCAGAACGAATTTCCTTATCGTCTTGTGGTGATAACAACGGAAAAGATACCATATCAAAGGGTTCCTTGTTTAATAACCAATTCGGTCCGTTAATCCAAGAACTAATAACTTGCATGTCTGGAGAGCTAATAAATCTAGTCCCTAAGTCAGCTGGGTTTCTATCCGTTGATACATATGACCACTGTGAAGGTTCCGACACTTTATGAATCTTTTCCACACGATTACTGACATATGTGAAGAATCGACGGGTGGTATTACATATATATCCTAACACTACTCGACTGTCTGTATAGTAATGACAAACACTCGGAGACAGATTCATATGATGACATATCGCTTCTCCAACTTCCGTAGCCAACACGGCACCGCACAGTTCCAATCTAGGAATAGTATGACCTTTGATAGGTGCAAGTTTAGACTTTCCAGTAAGAAAACCTATAAACGCTGAACCAGTTTCATCAATTGCCTCTAGATAAGCCACAGCAGAGATTGCTTGTTCTGAAGCATCAGAAAAAATGTGGATATCAACTTGGCGTGTCAAAGAAATAGATACAGGAACAATCATACGCGGTATTTGAAAACAACTAACAGATTTCAAAGACTTCAACCAGTTTTTCCATTTTGTTGCATGATCAGTAGACAGCGGATCATCCCAATCAGTTCCTGGTGGAACAACTTCTCGAAGTAGAATTTTCCCACTGATGACTAGCGGCGAAATAAAACCCAACGGATCAAACAAACTGTTAATAGTTGAAAGAATGCCTCTACGGGTGATTGGTTTTTCATCATCATTGACACGAAAGATAAACATGTCTGTCTGTAAATTCCACGACAAACCTAAACTATGTTGAATAGGCAAAGTATCTGAGCAAAAATCTAAATCTTTTAACTCCTTTCCTAAGTCATCTAAAGGAAAAGCTTTCATTACCTCGATATCGTTTGAAATGATTTTGTGTAATCGTATGTTGCCATTATCCTTGAGAGCTTTTTGTGTTCTTTTCATAAGGTCAATTGCATCATCCTTGTCTGCAAATGAGATCAGACCATCGTCAACATAAAAATCATTCGTAACAAAGGAACGCACATCAGTGTCAGCTTCTAAAACAGCTTCACGTAAGCCATATGTCGCTACAGCAGGTGAAGGGGTATTACCAAAAACATGTGCTGTCATGCGGTATTCAATCAACGGTTTTGTAATGTCATTGTTCTCATACCAAAAGAAACGCAAATAATCTCGATGGTATTCATCAACATGAAATTGATAAAACATTTGTTCAACGTCACCTGTTATAGCAATTCTATTCTTTCTAAAACGCATCAGCACTCCAACAAGGTTATTAGTCAGGTCCGGTCCGGACATTAGAATACTATTCAGAGATATTCCTTCATACAGTGCTGACGAGTCGAAAACTCCACGTATTTGATTTGGTTTTTTAGGGTGGTACACCCCAAAAAGAGGAAGATACCAGCATTCTCCTGGAATCTCTTTTGGTGCCACTTCAGCTGCACCACTACTAAGCACTTTAGACATAAAAGTAACAAAGTGTTCAAGCTTTGTAGAGTTCTTACGCAAACTTGACTCTAAAATCTGAGCTCTTTTCCAGGCTTGGTAACGATTGTTAGGCATTTGTGGTTTCGGTTGTATAAATGGCAAAGGAGCCGACCAAAGACCATTCTCGTCTTTACGAAAGTGACGTTGCATTAGTTCTAGAAACTGTCTGTCTTGAACCGAGAGACCTAATTTGTTGTCTGCCGGTCTACGAACAAAAATTTGATCTTCAACATCATTAACTTTGATATTTAATTCACACAAAGGGAAAGTCGTGTGTCGTCCATCATTCAACACATGAGTTTTACGAACGTTGATTACAGAAGGAGCATGAACCTTCCCAAGACATACCTCTCTAATTTCAACCAATCCTAAAGGAAGTTTTTGTGCAAAAGGTTCTCCTTTACCACCAAGAATTTGTTCCGTTACATGGTGTACTTCAGGTAAGTCGCGTCCTATCAAAAGTTCAACTTTACAACTTGGATCTAGTGCAGATAAGTATGGAGAAATACGACGTAGATGCGGGTGTGCATTAGCAACATCCGGAGTCGGAATTTCCGGTAAATTACTCGGAATGGAGTCACATTCGATAACATCTGGCATTTCAAAAGTTGATTGTCCGTCAATTGAACATATACGAATACCACTAGCATATCTGCCTACCATAGTAGAGCTACCGGAACATGACGACAATACGAACTGTTTTTGAGAACCATGAAGTCCAAGTCGATCAAAAAGATCCGGCGTCGCAAGACTACGATTACTTTGATCGTCTATAATTGCATAGACACGAATAGACTGTTCAGGAGAAGCACCAGAGAAAACATCAACTAAAACTGTTTTCCCACACGAATGGCCGACACGCATATTTCCACACAATCTCGTACAGGCCGTTGATATTGTTTCTGTGGAAAACTCCCCGCCGTAGTCTTCATCAGTTTTTGGTGTACTGATTTTTTCGGTTGTGGGTGAACGATCTATGTGCATAGATGAAACATGGCGATTGCTTCCGCAAATTGAACATTTAACATTGACATTGCAGTTCCTTGATATATGGTCATTTGATTGACAACAACGGAAACATATTTTCTTTTCACGTAGAAAACGCTGACGATCCTGAAATGGTCGCTTTTGGAAACCGCGACACTCACTTAATGTATGTCCAGCTTTATGTATCGGACAACGATTATTGCTATCACGTATACGAGTGTCACTTTGAGCTGAAACCTCAACCTTCCTAGTAAGAACTGGATTCGAAGAACGCTTTGTATAGCTAGAAGTGTTCGAGTTAGAATAGCTAAAAGCAGGATCATTGCGAATTTGACACATATCTCTGATGAAATTGATAAAGAAGGAAAATGGCGGATACGGAACTGAATGGTTTTTCTTGTAGTTTGAAGCTTGTGTTGTCCATTTCTCTTGCAGAGAATAAGAAAGCTTAGATACGATCGGAGAAACACCTGATGAAGAATTAAAGTAACTCAAAAGTGTTGAATACATCGGATTTGCCATTGCAGACTCTATTTCACTTAGTATGTCTAGGAGATCGTAAAGTTTTGAGCTGTCCTTGTTTGTGATAATCGGGAAAGAATTCAATTTTTTCTTCAAAGCGTTTTCTACCATTTCTGGTCGACCATATCGTTCTTGTAGTCGATCCCAAATGCGTTTTAAACCTCTTGAAGGATCGTGTGCATTTGAAGCCCTAAGACTCTTAGCAAATTTCGACGACTCCGGTCCTAACCATTTTATTAACAAATCCATTTCCTCAAATGGAGAAACACAGAGTTCACCAGTAATATTTTGAAAAGATGCTCGCCACGAAGCAAATGATTCTGGTGTGTCATCAAAGTTTATAAAACGTGTCAACAGAAAATCTTTCCGTAGCATAAATTTTGTAACATCAGACATAACATTAATGTAGGGATTATTTGGTGGCAAGAAAGACATAGGCTGAGGTTGTTGATAGTTGGCAACATTTGATTGAAAATGTGATGGTTGACTAGATACGGTAGTATAAATCGGTTGACTTGACACTGTAGCGGAAATCGGTTGACTTAATATTGTAGCTGAAATCGGTTGCATCATCGATAATATTTCAGATGAAACAGGAGGAAGATTATTGTATTGAGGAGCAAACGGAGCTGTTACTGAAATAGACGGCTGATTATCAGAAAAGCCAACAGCACTTGTCCCTTGCTGTACACTATAACTTGGTAATGTTTCTACGTACTTGCTAACCTTGTTGTGTTTGTCCTCTAACGCCATTGGCAATTCTTGATCTTGTTCTTCCAAAATTCTGGCCTCTACCTCTGCTGCTTCAACTATTCCTTCCTGTTTTACAACGCTCATACTTGCTTCTATATCTGCTTTTTGCTTTAACAGTTCACCTTCTCTTTTAACATATTCCAAACGAACCTTTTCTGCCTCTGCTTTAGCTCTTTTATGACTCGCTGATGACCCAACTGTTGATCCACTCACTTCCGATAATTGGTCAACTAATTCGAGTTTCTTTTTCTTAATATCGTTATTAACTCTTCTGACGACGCTAATAGAACTATTAAAAAATTCATTGTGATCGTCCAACACTTTTCTGGATTCGTCCGTATTTGTCCTTTTTAAATAATTTTTATACTCCTCCGAACGACGACAAAATTCTTTAAAATTTGTATTAACATTTTTCTCTAAACTTCTATAATCCTTTATCATCTGACATGATGGAAGGGTAACAATTAAATCCTCCAATTTTGACCATAAATTATCAACTTTGTCCTTTAATTTCTCACTGTGTTCTTCAAACATTGCTTGACCTTTGAATGTTAGTTTCCTTAGTCGGCTTTCTGACATATATACTGCAATATCTTTTTACTATACCGTTAGGTAGCCTAACAGATAGTGAACCAACACTCCATGTGGCAGTACAAATCACTGAAGTAATCTTATCCAATAATGTTTAATATTGATATAATATACAGTTCAAGTTGTTACATACATGTGGTGAGTGCGTGTGGTAAAAAGCTACAATAGAAAAAAGGAAACCTTATACTAGCTGATAAAAAATACAATTTAAAGAATACACAGATAAAGGTAAATTATAGAATCAAAACAATGTATTTGTTTACCAAAAAGCTCGAGAAACGTAGACAAATAATCCTATATATGAAAAATACCAATATATATAGTCTTGACATAAAACAATATATCTCTGATGGGTTGCCATACTTTAGAAAAATATCCAAATATTCATGTGATATGTCTTGTACAATAAACTCTATAATATTAAATATATCTCAAAAATACACATGCATCTGTATAAAATAAACATCATATATCAAAAATTAACTTACATATTGGTCTGCCAGCATAGGATGACCAAGTTCTAGTTAGATTCAAAACATTTGTCAACCTTGTTGTGGTACACAACATCTATGAGTATACACAGGAAACAGGAAATTAACTCTTTAAAGTGAAAGTGAAAGTACTCATTAAAATGAAAGTACAGGTAATTATAAAAATAAAAAGTAAAGGTAAATTTACCTGGAATGAAAAGTGAAAGTAGTACTAAAATGAAAGTACAAATGTAAACAAAGACAATTAGACAAAAATTTAAAAAGTTATCAAATTATAGAAGGAATGAAACAGCACATGAGAATTGATAGATATGTTAAACTTGAGATAGTCTGTCCCACACATGATAATCGATAGGTGAGTGAAACTGGATATAGTCTGACACATTAGAATCAATAGGTAAGTTGTATTGGGTATAGTCTGTCACATGAGAATCTATAGGTAGAATATACTGGATATAGTGTTCGCATGAGAATTGATAATTAAGTTTTACTGGATGTAGTCTACCACATGAGAATTGATTAGAATAGAAATATATGGGATGTAAGTGAAATATTCCTATTCATATGTTCTGAGTATTTTTTTAGTAGGCAGTTTCAGATCTTTGAATGTGCACATTATCATTATATTTTGCTTTTTATTATAGAGGTGGCACAATTCAGACACATGAACAATACGAGTTTATACACCAGGCCTTATGTGAATATGAAAAAGAATTAGCTGAACCAGAGCAGACGACGGTGAATGGTTTCCCTGGTGATTGACAACATATCAGCAGCCAGACATCATACACATCACACAATCTAATCATATTTTAGTTCATCAAGGTCAACAGTATAGAATGTTTAAATGGCACAATGTTATGTTTTGAAATTCTATCTTTAAGTTTATATGAAAATTTCAAAGCAGTTTGAAACTGTTTTTTTTTTTTTTTTAATGATAACTACAATATGTAACATCACAAAGTAAGCCTTGCTTAAACATCTAGCAGTTTTGATTACAATAATGTTTCTACATATATTATTTTGCATATCAATAGGTTGAAATAAAAAGTCCTATAGTGATAAAAGACGGCTAGGAAGGCAGGTAAATACGAAAGTGACTGATAAAAATTTAGTGCAATTATTTGTGACTTATTACCTCATTTTATCACTCATGAGTGAATGGTATTTAAAGTGAGATTATTTTGATGCCCAGCCTACAATATTAGAGGGGCATTTTGTTTTCTGGTCTCTGCATCTGTCAATGCAGTATCAGGTTAAAATGTTAGTTCAGGTTAGTTTCTGGTCACATAGTTTGTGGTCACATCAACTAGAAACTTTGAAAGTACACAGTTTACTATGAAGTGAATTGTTCAATATATATGCCAAATTTTGACCCAAATTTCGTGATTCACTGAACATGATAGTGGGAGCGGGGCATGGAGACATATGCGCACATATTCTTGTTTGCTATGTTATAATTGCAAAATTTAGAATCATTTTTATTTAATTGTTAAACTTTATAGAAGGGATATATATTAAAAGGTGTCAGATGCTTGATGATATAAAGTGAAAAGTTTAAAGTTAAAAAAACATCGTTGGTAATAATGAGGTTGGAATGTTAGCATGAAAGCTAAATGTTCCATTGAATTGTAACTTAGCTTAGAAGTATATCAGGTAATATTGATATTTATCTCAAAAATTATTTATAATTTTTAATTTTTTCTTTGAAAAATTATCTCCGTTTACAGAGGTCAGTGTTGTACATTAAAACTCTATACTCATGAAAATTTTCATGAATTAAACAATTTTATTTTTTTTATTTTTTGCAAGATGTGCTTTCCGTTATTTACATGATGTACCTATGATTGCAAGCTTCATTAATCATGTGACCAGAAATGTGAGGCAAAAAACATCACATGTCAAACATGTGACTGTGTACATGTTTGTTAATGATACCTGTGATATGTACAGTTTTTATCCCTTTGTTTATGTGAAGAGTGCGCTGTACAATGTATTTGTGCTTTTGTATGCCTGTTTTTTTTAGAAAATCATATATCACCATTATGAAAATGGTTCAATATAAAATAGGAGACAAATTTGTTACAATCTGTTTTGTTTATGTTGTCATACTTCGTGAGATAGTGTAACAAGAGATATATCAGTTACACTTCTAATATGTTTATAACATTTCCTTAAGGTGGTACAAAACACCTTGACCAAAATTAATTTGGCTCGTTTAATTTTCTTAAAAGTTTTGACAAAATATTTACTTTGACCCTTGACAAAAATATCAAAATTTCAAACAACTTTAACCTCACACTTTATCGGAAAATTTTCATTGGATATATAGCAGTTTGACAAATGCTAATTTTGATCATTTAGAAGCTTAATATTTCCTTAACAATAGAACGTGATTAAAACATTCAGCTGATTTTCACAGAGTTATCTTCCTGTAGTGTTGTGTATCACCTTAAGGACCTATTATTTTGAAAAAATAGTTGAATAAAGGGAAATAAAATTTTAAACATGATGATATGTTATCTCATGGAAATCTATACAAATAGTCCATTTTCATTTACGAGAAAATGTGTTTGAAAGCTATAAAAAATTTATTCCACACTTGAATTTCTTTTTTCGTACATGCCTTCAGATTTATAAGTGTTTGATGGTATAATTCCAACATTTAACATTTTGTACATAATCATAAACTAACTTCATTCAACCATTACTATAGTGCTAATATTACATGTATTATGTGTCTGTCCTTATTATATATCAGTAATATACTAACAGTTTACAAATTTCAGAATGTGCTGATCCTTTTAAACAGAAGTACACTGGAAACTGTTAAAATATGTAATTAAAGAGAATGGATGCTTCATTCCCTCAGTTTAAAGTTCCACTGTACAATTTATAGATTGAATTGAAGTCCTTTAAGACAAAACATTGTATTTGTTGCTTTAAGTAATTTCATTTTTATTCAGGAACTTTTCATTCTGGTCTTGACCATAGTCTTTATGAATGAATTACTCAAATGTTAACGCCAACTGTGACCAATATTGCCTGATCTAACTTGTGTAAATTTAGTTTATTTATACTAAAATTTAATTTTATTTCATTGAATTATTTTAATTTCAGACTAGACTCAATTTCTGCTATATCATATCAATATTTTCTCCTCATCTGATATGTAGATATTGGTAGTTTCCTGTTGAGACCATTTAATTATACTTTCAGATGAAAATTTCGTGTGAAACTTTATTAAAACAGAATTTTTGAATAAAGCTCAGATAGTGATCAGTGAAATGGTTTACCTTGTAAGTTGGTGCATTTAACAAAAAGCCAAAGAAATGCACAGTCATAACGGTTGGACAAGATTAAACGATCTTGTTTTAAATTAATTTGGGAGATTTGTGGTCTATTTATTTATATTTATCATAATGTCCATGACATATGCCCTAAATCTCATTTTAATATATATACTGAATCTCCACGCTCATATGAATTGATCTGCAAATCATTCCATGATAATCTCATTAATACTACAAGCTGGTCTTGTAGTTCATTGTATTTTTAGTTTGATCTCTTAACGACCCACATGAAGTCATACCTCAATAATAATGCAATTTTTGCCGCTTTAACCATGTCTATAACAGCTTCAAGATCAGTAAGCAAAAAAAGAAAATGCAGATATTTTAATTGATTTAGGACATATAAAATTGCGAAAAAGATTTTTACTCATGTTAACCCAATATAATGAACAGGTGAAAATAATCAAATTGGTATTTTTGAAATGTATTATATTTTTATACTTATTGATGTCAATCAGTGATTTTACTGTAGCAAATTGAGTTTTTCAGCAATGTGTTAATGGAGCTGAAAAAATTATACTAGTGACAGTTAAATCTAATATTGACCTCTGCAAGTGTAAAAAACAATATGGTTATACCTATTTGAATGCAAATGCTAATTGGTATCTATTGAAGGAATTTTTACATAAAAGGAAACAAAAACTGTATTTTACTCCCTTGAAATATATGATGTGCGTTGAAAAAAGCCATTACAAAAAAAACAATAAAAAGAACCCTTCAAGTAAGTAAAATGTTAAATTTCAATATTAAGATGAGATATGAATTGTGAGGATTTCAAAGGCCAGAACTTTAATTTGTATCAGGGATTTACATCATTATCTAGTCTAAATTATTTTGTTTATTCTATAATTTCATCTGTAGAATAGCTCATCTGTCCATTAAATGTTTATTTAGATATTATACTGTAAACAGATGAGAGTTATTGTTATTATCTTTTTAAGTTATTAATAAATGTACTATTAAAATTCCTGTGTCCTGATTATTACACACAAGTATCTCATAAAATGTGCCTACTTTCATTATGAAAGCTTGACTTTCTTGACCTGTCAAACAGTGCTTTTGTATGTAGTGTTTGAAATAGATATGACAATTTCTTGACTAAAAACTTTTGTAAACAATTTGCATATTTAAATGTTGCATTTTATCTTCCGTCATTTTAAATCCTGCTCCAATATTTATAACATTAGAAATATACTATACACAAAGAAATGTCAGAGGATATTTTGTTTTTGTCCTGTATCTATAAGAAAGAGAAATGTATATGCATTCGAAATTTAATTTCAGATTATTATTTCATTTGTAGTATTTCTATTTTGATTTTTTCCTGAATTGGATATGGTTTTGCAGAAGGTATCTCTAATGCTAAATTCACAAGCAGACATAACTTCTGTTGTACATTGTATTTGAGATCAGAAAGATATTATATTCCTATGGAAATTATTAATTCTCACCCTGTTGTTTCGTATTGCTGATATGGACAGATATTCTTGTCTTGCCCAACCGCCTGGGTAAAAACACATATCTGCATCTTTTCAAACAATATTTGAAGGGTTTTGTATTCATTGTAACATTATTGCGAAATGAAAATAAATCAACCTCCAGGAAGAATGCATGACTTTTTAAAATCTGGAACCCTTTATGGTCTACCTTAACAGACGTCAGTTGTTACCTTCTGATAGGAAAGGTTATATTTTACCAAATCTTGAGAGCAGTTGATATGTTAGCCTATACCTCTATTATAAGTCCATTACTGAATCAAATTATAGCTACATTTTGATATAATTTAATGCCTTTATGTTTGTAAGCTTTAAATATGTATAATTAATCATCAAAGGAATAATACAGTGAAGTAAAAGCAAAAATTTTTATAAATACTGTGTTCATTTTCTATGTCACATCAACTTATTTTTTATTAAATTAAGCTGTACAAATAGAAAAGTGCTCTATAAGCCTAGCAAGGCTGGCTGATAATAAAACTGATTTTAACAAGCATGTGACGTTGTCATGATAACAGGTTGCACTTAGATATATACCAATTTCATCATAATAATAAGTGAATGTTGCGATATTATATTTTGAAAACAGATAGTTTTGCTGAACAAAATACATGGTGAAAGGTGGATAAAAGTCTCATTAATATTAATTTTTGCAAAAAGTTTGAAATGTCAGATTGACGTGTAGAAGAAAAAACAATCAATACTATCTAAATTCCTCTGATATAAATGATTTATTAAAATAATTTTAGAAAAAGTAACTATTAAGTAATTAAATGTTTGAACAGTATTGAAACCAAATGTATTAATGAAGGTAACTTTTAAAGTAGACATTTCTTTAAAAAAAACCTCTGAGAGTTCACTGTATAATTCCTTTGTACATCACTGTGATACCGGAGTTGGTACTACATCATTTACACCTTACTGTTGTATTGTATTGTTGTTATTTTGTGCAATAAAATAACCTCTCATTTATTAGTTTTTTTTCTATTATTTTTGAACACCTGAAGCCAACAGAATATCTTAATAGGACCCCTACAGTAAAGCGTTTATTTATCCTAAACTTTATGATGTATCTAGAATTATTGAACAGCTAAAGCCAATAGAATATCTTCATAGGACACCTTACTATGTATGATATGTCCATTTATCATAACTTATCCATTATTGAACTCTGATGCCAATAGAATATTTAAACTAGAAGGTCTGCTAAATATCTTGATCTTTTCCTCAAAGTTGACACAGATGGATGACGTCAAACTAGATTCTACAACAAACGTGATGATTCAACTTTTCAATCGTCCTCTTCCCATTTCTCAGAAGTAACATACCCTCAGACCCATTGTATGACGTTTATGACGTCTCCGTAGACAAAAAGAAGACTACTGGATTCGACAGTTGGGAACTGCGACACCATATGGTTGCAATGACAAAATTGATGGTATATGTATTTTATTTAGTCCTTCCTGTAGCTCAGTGAATGTGATGAACATTTTCAACTCTATTCCTCGACGTAGACGCAGTCATGGTCATCGTCATTATACATCATCTACTCTCTGTGATATTTATACAAAAGCCATTAGGTATTCATCACATTCGCATGAAGCTTTATTCATTACCCATTTCAAAACTTCATTGTCTGTACAACTTATGTTTGGAAACCACTGTTACAAACCCTCATTCAAACCAATACCATCTCGGATATTGCAAGTCACAGACTTTTAAAAGCAGTTCGCGTTGGAAAAGGAGAAAAGATCCTTTCTAAAACTTTCCTTTGCCAACAAACGTCTCGATGCAATCACCTTGGGCAATATCCTTCATCATAAATCAGTTCACTCGAAAATACCTCCCTATTTTTAACATCAGTCTACCTGTCATTTCTTATACCTATACCAAACCAATTGCAACTAAATTTTCAATTAAAACACGTGTTGCAGGATCCCAATATTGACGACTTCAAGTCTAAACCTCCTTATTGCACCTGTGCGACCTTCCCATTCATATATAATCCGGCTGGGCGCGTTATTACTGGTGACCTTAACATTGTCAATAACACTTCTAGGCGAAATGTGTTATCCAAAGGCCCGAAATATCGTGAGCCTAAATCCATCAATTGGAAACACAACTTCAAAATACTGATGGATTCAGTCGAGGATTATGCCAGGTAATGGGTTAAACGTGAGTTAGAAGACGTAGATACTCTTTCCGAATGGATTAAGGATGTGAGGTCGTTGATACAAATCAGAATTAAGAAACTGAATGGGTCTATGAATACCCATGCTACATCAATTTTTAAAGAACCAAATGTTGCAAAACACTTGTCCTACCTCCTTGACAAATATGTTGTCCCCACAGATAAATCCCCAAATAACATCGTTTTTGTGTGTAAATCACATTACATAAACTGCTTGATAAATGAATTAGGTATTGACAATTCACTTTGAAACTTAACATATACCCCACGCCACTTACCAAAGAGGAAATCCTGGATAATCATAGATCTGTTCTATGTTCCTTTGGAATTTCAACCAAAGATGAAGAACTGGATCTTCCTTCACTGTATTGGATACCTAAACTACATAAGTGTCCTTACAAACAACGTTATATTGCTGGGTCTTCCATGTGCTCCACGAAACCTCTTGCTAAATTATTAACATCAATTTTATCAGCAATCAAAGCCGGGCTTCAAAGTTATTGTGAAACTATACCTACTCTAAAGGTGGCGTGAATCAGATGTGGATACTAAACAAGTCCAATGATCTTTTAGAGTAAATACAATCTAAGACTATTTCATCTTGCAATAGTATTCAAACATTTGACTTTTCTACACTTTACACAAGTATTCCCCATTCCAAACTAAAAGACAAATTGAAAGAGTTGGCCCTGCTTTGTTTCATAAAAAGAATGACCAACGTAGATAAAAGTATCTTGTCTTAGGGAGGGATAAATCGTACTCTTTAAACAATCACTCTGATTAAAACAAAAAATTCTCTTTTTGAAACTGACATTACCAAGATGCTTGATTTCTTGATTGACAACATATTTGTTACGTTTGGAGGACGTGTTTTCCAACAAACAATCGGCATTCCCATGGGAATCAACTGTGCCCCTCTTCTTGCTGACTCGTTCCTTTATTCATATGAGGCTGACTTCATACAGGAACTTCTTATGAAGAAAGAAAATAAGTTAGCTGTATCCTTTAACTTTACTTTCCGCTATATAGATGATGTTCTCTCACTAAATAATTCAAAATTTGGTGACTTTGTTGATAATGTCAGTTTCAGAGATTTTTTTGTTACAATCAGAGTGATTTTTTACAAAGTAGGATTTATCCCTCCCTAAAACAAGATACTTGTATCTACGTTGGCCATTCTTTTTTATGAAACAGAGCAGGACCAACTCTTTCAATTTGTCTTTAAGTTTGAAATGGGAAATACAGGAAACAACAGATACACTTAAGTCTGCCTTATATCTTGACTTACATCTAGAAATTGACAATGAGGGTCGGTTGAAAACAAAACTTTACGACAAAGGAGATGATTTCAGCTTCCCATTTGCGAACTTTCCATTTATATATAGCAATATTCCAGAAGCGCCTGCATACGGACTATATATCTCCCAGTTGATGCGATATTCCAGGGCATGTATTTCCTTTCATGATTTTCTTGATAGAGGGTTGCTGCCCACAAGGAAGCTATTAAACCAAGAGTTCCAAGTGGTGAAGTTGAAATCATACATTCGTAAATTTTAAGAACGCCATCACGAGTTGGTTGACCGTCATGGAATATCCGTTTCACAGATGACAGCGGATATGTTCTAAATGTCGTAACTACAATCCCGTCCTCTTTTCCCCGAATGCAACCTACCGAATTATACTTATTACCGGGTTTGTACTAATATGAGCAACACGACGGGTGTCACATGTGGAGCAGGATCTGCTTACCCTTCCGGAGCACCTGAGAACACCCCCAGTTTTTGATGGGGTTCGTGTTGCTCAGGCTTTAGTTTTCTATGTTGAGTTTTGTGTATTATGGTTTGTCTGTTGGTCTTTTTCTTTTTAGCCATGGGGTGGTCAATTTATTTTCGACTTGTGAGTTTGAATGTTCCTTTGGTATCTTTCGCCTCTCTTTCACTCGGAAAACCAACTAACACCAACGAAACTTACCAAGGATGAAATCTTGGATAATCATTGGTCTGTTCTATGTTCCTTACGCCTCTCATACAAGTGAGAGGTTTAGCGCTATAAAACCAGGTTCAATCCACCATTTTCTACATAAGAAAATGCCTGTACCAAGTCAGGAATATGACAGTTGTTGTCCATTCGTTTGATGTATTTGTGCTTTTGATTTTGCCATATGATTAGGGACATTCCGTTTTGGATTTTCCTCGGAGTTCAGTATTTTTTTTATTTAACTTTTTACATATCAATTGATAAATTACACAGGTGCATTTCCATACTCTACAGACTTCGTTAATAGGTGTTTGCTCCTTACTCCAAAAACTACTATAGAGCTGTGAGAAACAGCGACTGAATTCAACACTACATAGGTTTTGCTGTCACCATCACGAACTGGTCCACCTATTATATATGTCTATGTGTCATCTCATAACTGACATGTTTTTGCAGTCTTTGATTTTTAGATACTAGTACCAGGATATTCGTTTAATCTGTAATTTTTCCGATTGTGTCCTATTGTTGGTTGTGACACAGCATGACAGGAGTCACAAGTGGAGCAGGATCTGCTTACACTTCGACAAACTTTTCTGATAATCCATTTTGATTTGGTGACACGAGATAACTTTACTCTTCGGACGCCCGGGATTAAACATGTGTAAAACTCGTAAACGTCATATTCTACTCTTGTTACCGTATCGAACATGCGACTACGAGATCAGAATCAAAATTTATCATGTTGCCTATTCATTAATATTGGTCAATTTGGAATTTCAAAGGCAGAAAAAAAATGTTGTTGTTATCAGTTGTTAACAGTTGTTATCCTTTCGTTTGATGTGTTTGAGCTTTTGAATTTGCCACTTGATAAGGGACTTTCCGTTTAGAATTTTCCTCGGAGTTCGGCATTTTTGTAATTTTACTTTTACAAACCTTTGGACACACCATAATTCCTCATTGTATAGAAAAATACATTTATTCAACAACACGTAAGTTCAAAAATGACAGATTATAAAAGGAACCACATCATAAAGCTATATATTGTCAATGATATTTGTTCATTTCATTGTCATAAATATGAACCCTAGCTACCTGCAATAAAAGACTTCTGCCGAACAAATTGTCATATAAATGTTTCTAGACGAAGTCATTGATTTAAATGTATATTTGAATTTCGGAAGATCATTTTTATTTTGTGCGGACACCATATGATAAATTATTATTTTCCTGGAGGTTTTAATATATTATGAACTCTGGTTGTGTTCTCATCAAAGAAATCATTATATGCTAAAAAGGCAACAAAATCCTCAAGAAAACTTGCCATTGTCAAAGGATTCAGGAAATGTCTAATAAATAACCGCTTGCAATGGAGTTCGTCCATATTTGTAAGTATCATCCAGAACTTGGTAAAATCTTCTTCCACAATTGGAAGATTCTTTTTCCGGAAGTCAGGAGTTGTAAAAAAGTTAAAAAACCCAGTGATAACAGGGCGAATTTTTTTCTCCATATCCGCAGGATTATAAATTCCTTCAAGATAATTTATATAGCCGTCGATAGAAATATCTTTGTTGACTCCCCTTTTGAATATATGATCGTTCCACCATTTTTTCTGTTTTTCTGCATCTAGAGCTGTCGTTCTATCCCCAATTGCTCGTCGAAGAGCGTCTAGTCTGGCGTTGGTCTTCTCCATGTCACCTGTACTGATAATGCCATCTTGGTCGGCATCAAGAAGACTGGCCCACTGACGCCATTTATGTCGTACAAACCAAACTTCTGTGATACAAAAATAATTATTCATAATTGATAAATGGAAAATTTCTGTTATTGTAGATGAAGGAAGTAGACAATTCGAAGTAATAAAATAGTATAGCAATAATAATGATAAACTTCAAACCGTGCAACTTATAGTACTGATTACGTGAAAGTAGTCATTAGACAATAATCTGAAATTATATAAAATGAAAGAAATGGTTACCTTTAGCTAACATCCCGAAAGAAAATTTAAATAATATAAAAACTTAAATAAAAGCACAGTAAATCTACAAAGCTTATAACTTAGTGCACCTGCAACGCGATTTGTCTGACGTAAGATTCAAGTGGTAAAACGTTCATGATTACGTACATTGAACATAAATCAAGTTTTCTGATGCTCAACATTGCTATATGTAAAACAAAACCATGTTGTATACTTCTTGTGGGATATGTAAAACAAAAATTTGATATTGAATAAAATTAATCAGAAAATACATGGGTTCAGCAGGTCTTAGTTACTGCGACATATATCATATGCATGATACATTGACGCTTAAAAAGAAAGAGAAAAAAAGGGAAGAAAACCAGTACATATCAACACAAGGCCTTGTTCAAATCTGTGATAATAACCTGCTTAAATTGTAAATCAATACAAACAAATTCATCCATACTCTATGCGTTTAATTAATCAGACAACCTTTATATTTCTGGAATTATTTGTGCAAGATCAGATATTATACAAATAACTTAATTTTGTACTTATTTGTTGTTTCTGACATTCACATTCATGTCATCTACGACTTTCTCTCGGAATATATCTCTCCAACGAGTGTTAGAGAAATAATTACTTACTTCCTTTTGGAATGACTATAAAGATGGCGATTAAAATGTAAGCAGCATATGTCACAACTACGACCAACTGTGCAATCTTGGCATTGTGATAAAAGCTATAGAATTCGGAATCACAGTTGAATGTATAATTCTTAGAGACATCATATTTATAAAATGGGATAACTTTTGATGCTCCCGGAATAGAAAATATAAACAAATAATCAATACTAGTACAAACAATTTTCCACTATTAATTTATCTATGATATTATCTTGTATTTTTTCACACATATACATAAACACAAAGAGAAAAATTCGATCAACTTCCAGAACTAATATGCGTACATATTGAATGTCAACTATTTCAATTCGATAAAAGTGGTATGGAAAATTTTGGCATGCTGAACATATTTGTCCGGCAATTGATAACCAGTCATTATTTTCGAAAACTTTATACTTCTATTTAGGTAAACTGAGCATTTTATTTATGAGATCGTTCTTCTGTAAATGATTTTAAGTGCTTAATACCAATGTCGTGGAACTAATTTAATTTTAATATAATCAGATGTTTGCAAATTGACAAATACTTGTGACATCCATTTACTGCCCCTTGATCTTAAGTGATGCATTATAAGAGTCGGAAATCGTTTAATTTTATGTATGATTTTATCTCAATGAAGTTTTTTAAGAATAGTGCCGTAATTTTTGCAATAGTCGGTCAACCGCAAAATGGAATATCCCCCTTACTATAGGATCAAGGGAGTTATTAACTGATATGATAGTGCCAATAAGAACGTTTTTTTTTTAAATCATCATATGATGTTATATTTTTTTGTTCAAAGCTTTTGATTATGTTTCAAAAGTTTTTAGGAAAATAATGACTAGCCATCTTTTCAAAGTTACCGATTCTGGCCTTCATGTAAACCATTTTATACCTATATTAAGCTATACCAGATGAAACCTAATCTACAGAATGGATTTCAAGAAATGTGCTTTACATAAGTTTCCAAATGTTTTCTTTTTATTTGCGTTATGTTTAACATCTTAACTAAATAACACGTTTCTTAACTGATGTGTAAAGATTTTGCAGATTCCATGCGTTGTGTTCTGGAACACAGTGCATTTGAAAGCGAATGCAGATCAAAATAGATCTTAAATCATCAGTTATATTCCACATAACTGAACGAAACTGATATATAAGGGACGATATACCGATGGGAAATTTAAAATCATGATCAAAACAAAATACGACATTCCACAAAACACTACACAGAAAATCACAGAATTAGCAACACCAACCACAAAACACTACACAGAAAATCACAGAATTAGCAACACCAACTACAAAACACTACACAGAAAATTACAGAATTAGCAACACCAACCACAAAACACTACACAGAATTTCACAGAATTAGAAACACCAACCACAAAACACTACACAGAATTTCACAGAATTAGCAACACCAACCACAAAGCACTACACAGAAAATCACAGAATTAGCAACACCAACCACAAAACACTACACAGAAAATCACAGAATTAGCAACACCAACCACAAAACACTACACAGAAAATCACAGAATTAGCAACACCAACCACCAAAGACACCGTGGCTTACTCACTCCAGACGAGTAAACTATTTTGTTCTACTAGCCACCACGTCATGTTAATTCCGATGAGTAAAAATTAGGTGATAAGTTGTATTCGAGGAAATACTGACTGGATTGGGGTTATGAAACGTGAAGCGAAAACGTGGTAATCGGTGACAGATATTCAATAATCAAATCATGACGATTACCTGAAAACTCATAAAAAGAGTTGACTTTCAACTTTACCAGTAGAAATTGGTTCAAGGCTTCCATGCGAACAGCAAACCTCTACTAAGGAAATCTCCATAGAAAATGCAAGCCCTGGAATATCGTATAAAACGTATTGGAACGGAATATACATCCAGGTGTTGTCTTTATATACTAGGCACTTGGACTTTTTAACCAAAGCATTAGTTATGATACAATCAGAATGCAGTCTCGGCTTACAGGGTTTACTTTAAAGGTTCATTAACCTTTGATATGATGGCTGTTAGGTGTATGTGACTCTTTATGAGTCCCTTATGGTCTGGAACTATAAGTAACGGAATAGAATGATCAATGAGGTATGCTTGTTCTACACTGTGTATGTAGAATTGATGGATTGAAAAATTATATTTAGATTGAGACATTAAAAAATATGTATGGAATGTTTGAAACGACAAGCATTTATGTATTACAATTAATCTGGGGAAAGAAAACTGTTGTCAGTGGAAAAGAGTTAAACAGCTCGTTGATTCCCATTTCTCAAGAACTATGTTGATGTATAATCTGACTTAGTCCTATAAGCTGTACTCGAAGTAATTATTTTACTGTAAAGTTATAACTTATTGTGCATGCTACAATTTTTATTGTTTGATAGGATTTTCAAATTTTTAAGTAGACATTTAAGGATTAAAAAACTGTTGTAAAAAAGCAATTAACATTATGTTAATTCTAACAATGAGTTACATTTAATCTTTTGTAGAGGTTGAGCATTTTATCCTGGAATCGTATTTAAACAAATTGGTGTATTTATTTTTTTCACTATTTTCATATGAAAGTTAATTATTTTGGAATTGGCACCAGTAAAGCCCTTTTTTCCAGAAGACATTTATTTGCCCCCTATCTCTTAACCCTGTGGTCTGTGTTTAAACTAATCAGTTTCAGCAAAAAGTGTGTCAACAGATAATGATAACGAAAAAATGTTACACATATTCAAATTAAGCAATATTGTCAATTCCTTGACTAATACCGTCGAAACGGGGAGGAAACTTAACAGTATCGTAACGTTTCAAGATGAAACACTTTTAAATTTGACTTCAAATTATGAAAATTAATTTCACCGACATGAGTATACAAAAAGTTGTATGACGTAGTATTTGTTGTATGTAAATGTTATCATGGGCATAGTTCAAGATCAGTACATTTTGCCGTCAAAGTCGATACTAGTATCAAAAGTTGTGCAACATACATACCTATACTACACAAAACAAAACTTGCGATGGAAAGACAAAACCAAATACAAAAGAGGTTGCCCCCACATTTCTTTCTCCCCTCCAAATCAGCCCTTTTGATTCGTTGTTTCCGCTTTGTATCACAAATACCAAGTAATCTACATCCAAAGACAAAGAGAACATAAGCACACAATACTCCGCCCTCTGCTTTCATGAATGATGGAAGGTCTATTTCTTCAACCTTCTTTCCTTTTCCATCGTAGTGTATTCGAGAACAATTGCCATCATATTTCAAACCTTAAATAATAAATCAAAACTGATTATTATATACATGTAATATTATAACTATATAACGCATGCCATAATTAGTTGTCTGTAATTCAGTTATTCGACAAATGGACACCTAAACATTTTAACGCAAGTACTGAGAACGTATTGTGTCTAATCAAGTATAAATAGAAATTAGCGAAATATCTAACCAAAAGGTAATTTAATTCACATTTCTTAAAGTACATATCAATTTAAGACTGACTTACCGAAAACAATATAAGTTATTGCAAAGACGAGAGCACCAAACCAAATAATTTGTTGCAGAACTGAAAAAAAATAACATTGCTATTAAATTATCATTATAAGAAAATTGTGTACATCTAGTATATCACTCTTGTACAGATATACAAATTTGTGAAAACGGATTGCCTATTTCCACATGTAAGCACATTTTGAAATTAATGTATTCCACAGATCGAAGACCTTCAGTTTTGGTGAAGGTCCATTGATAAACATTGCCATTAAATATGCCAAGTTTTCTTTGCCTTTTATAATCTGAAATCTGTTGACATTACCCCACGCTAGTGTTTTCCATGAAAAATTGTATTTTTTGTTTTACATTTATACCGGTGCCATCTTCAGATATACTGCAATTTTGAATGAAAAACATCAATGAAAGCGTTGTTCCTTTGCCTTTTGTTTTTCTCAGGTGCGTTTTATTTTGTATCAGGATTTAATACACCTTCTTTCCAATTTTCTTTAAAAAATGTGTCAACCTAGCTAGTTTTCAGGGCATTACTAAGGAAATTTAGAAAAGAAATAAAGAAATACATCAGTCTTAGAATAATAACCTTGATAACTTGCAAATAAAAAGTTGATTGCAACTTTCAAACTGTAAACAAACGTATTGGGTAGCAGAGAAAGAGGGAAGTCCCCAGGACTCATTTTGCCATCAAAATAGGTGGTCGATTAGGTTCTATGCAAAAACATGTTTTGCTGAAATATCTTGAGAGTTGAAGATTCCTCTGTTAAATAAGTTTAAATATTTTATTTGTTGCAGTTTTTGTACAATTCAAAGATGCTTCATACATAAAATACAAAATTCGAACTAATGTGTCGTTAAAAAGAACATCTAGTATGTCTGATCACTTTTGTTTGTAAGACGATATTAAGACCTGCATTGGGCCTACATTTGAACAACCATCCACAAACACAAACTTCATATTTGTGAAAATTTAAGAAAAAAATAAAAAAATATACATGATATAAAGATAAAAAATAAAAAGTTGGATGCTATAAAGTGGTTTATTATTAATGCACGAGACGCTCCCTGTCTACTCACACGGTCTCGCTCCTTTTATATGTAATATGTTCTAACTGTCGTAACAACAATCCCGTCCCCTTTTCCACGGGTTTGTACTAACATGAGCAGCACGGCGGGTTCCACATGTGGAGCAGGATCTCCTCACCCTTCCAGAGCACCTGTGATCACCCCCAGCTTGTGGTGGGGTTCGTGTTGCTCATTCTTTGGTTTTCTGTGTTGTGTTTTGTGTACTGTTGTTCGTCTTTTTCTTTTTTAGCCATGGCGTTGTCAGTTTATTTTTGACTTATGAGTTTGAATGTTCCTTTGGTATCATTCGCCTCGTTTTAAATATTCCTTAAAGGTTTTATATAGAAACAATACTTTACTCCATTTATTAGATGGAAATATAGAAATCTGCAGTTTGGGATTTGAATATAGAATAACAAAAATATACGCTGGCCGCTACATTCACATTTCATATTTTAATCTACGAACACAGAAAGTGCCGATAAAACATCCAGCCTTGAAATTTACATTTCGTTTCGATACTGATTCCACAGAAAGTTTGTTCCGTTTTAAATTTTCATTAATAATCAAATGATTTATCTAAATGATGGCTTCCAATATCAGAACAAATTTTGAGCATTTGGTATTCATAGGAAAATGAAAAGTCTTTAAGTACATCACTGAATTCCTTTAAGTTATTTAGCTTAAATACATATACTTACTTGACATTTCAAACCATTCATGGACCTTTTCCCACAAGTTCCTGTCATCGTGTCGTACATTTGTCTTTGGAGGTTCCTGATTGACAAGAATTGAATCGTATGCTGGGGGAGGACCTGAAACCGAAAAAAGAAGACAGATCTTTACCATAATGGCAAAGATATTGAGTGTAACTTGAATTATTTGAGGTCGAAAACAAATTCATATCAGCACTGAACAAATGTGGTAATTTTTAACTTAGGGTTAAGGACGAGTAAATGGGGTATGTCATAGATTTTGGTGAAGTTTCGCATATCACTTTGGCACGTTGAAATTAAACTGAAAATCCAAAAAAATTTTCAACAATCTGTTGTGCTTTTTAATATATGATCAAATAAAAATCCTTAATATAGGTTAACTTTTTTCAAAGAATGTATGTAAAATCTGTCATAAATGTTCTCAAAGAACCATTTACTTATTTAACGTGTTTTTTATATAAATATTCATCTATTTTGAAAGGAATTCATTCTATAATATTAACGAAAATGAGAGACATATGCATATTTTGTTTGATTTTTAGTTTAACTTAAAACATCAAAATCTTATAAATATCCGTAACATGACACATTAACTGCAACTCGACCATAAGCTTATCATGGTTTTCTATTACTATAACGATTGATAATATATTCCAGTTTGATACAGACGATGTCGATAAATCTTTAAGTACATGTAGTAGAAAGCGTATTACTTTTCTCCGTGTAAATATTAAAGTATGAATTTGAAGATTTCACGAAAACGTACAAATGGTTCATATTTTGACATTGTGGTAGTCTATGCAGAAAAATAGATTAAGAGAAAAAAAATATGCACCGTCATACCATTGCGTAATTAAACAAGAAATATGTCAGGAGTAACAGAATGATTTATTTTTCCTCTACGGAAAAGAAGGTAACAAGTTCAACTAGTCCGACTACTGTGGGTTCATAACTATTCATAGGATACCTATATTAGTGGATTTCATGGGTTTAGGTGAACCACGAATTTTAGTGTTCAACAAAGTACACATTTTCTATAGGCTTGTATGCACACTTAGGCAATGGCAAAACAACGGAGTCAAATACCCAAGAAAATACAATTTTTCCTCAATCAACGAAGAAAAATTAATCCACAATATTTAGGGTAACGTAACGTATCCTTTAAAATGATGATCGTATATTGTGTATGAAACTATGTATACGTTCGAGCAAGTGCATTAATTATATATTTAAATTATGAAAACCATATGCTCTTGAAAGATGCGAAACAAAGAAAAAAATCTATGCGTTGGCATTTAAACCGACTATTCCAATTCACCAAAAACGTATTAAATACGCCAATTTATTAATCAGTCGAATGCTTTGCCCCCATGGGAGGAACGATATTTCCGTTGGCATGATTCCTCTTCCACATACCATGCATCCTTTTAACATTCATTTGATAGTTATGTGCATGAATCGGAGACTCTTAAAGACAATTTCTAACATAGTTATTCAGGAAATACCAATGAAAGAAAAAAAGATTCTATTTTATTTTTGGCCATGATAGGATCAGTATGTTTCACAATAGATAACAACTTACCTATATCTGCTATGTGCGCTGGTGTCAATATATTCGAAGCTCCAGTATATATTGCAGGGTTGGTGTCAACATCAGAGGGTTCTGGCTCTGAATATGCCGGAGGTGATACTTGATTAAGATTCTTCTCCATGATTTTAACACTTCTAATATCATCATACACAGTCTTTTCAATAAAGATTCGTTTGTTACAAACTTTCACTATACCATTTCATTAACGGATCTACATGTACATTACCCGGATTGTGAATAAACCTATTACATATTTATGTCAATAAATGTGTTTTAATAATAAAGATACAAACGTGACGGATGTTCTTAGCACATGTATTAGCTGGTCATAAACTGTAATTAAGTGGACAACAATATAACTTATGACTGGCTTCTCATAGCGCCTTTGAAACTTAGATGGCGTACAAATTTATAGGTGATATTCGAAACGTATATGAGCATGTTATTTGTATGAAATTGTAGAATATATATACACATATTACTATTTTCGATTGTTGGATGTAATATTTTCTACAACCGTTCTAGATGAATGGAGAAATAAGTAAAAATGCACGACAAAGAACGAATAGAGTGAACCTTGCCGTGAATTTGTTCAATTTCTTATTAAATTACTTACATTGAATGGAAGTAAACGCACAAAAAGAAAGATTTTTACTAACAGAATCTTCGGCAAAAACGATTTTTTATTCAAAATCATAAGATTAAAACAAACAAATAAATGTACTTTCTGCAATGAACCTACTGAAGATATTGAGCACATATTTCAGATATGCCATACATATCATTTATAACCAAAAACAAATAATTATTCCATTATGGATGGATATCAAATTATTTAAAAAACTAGGAAAAACGGGAAATAATAAGATAAAAAAAACTTAATAATACTCTTGAATTTATTTATTAATTCATAGAACAAACCTTTGTAAAAATAGAGTAAATTATACAGGATTCAACAATTATCCAAGAAAATTATTAATGCTAGATATTATTTTGTTTTAAGAGTAACCCTCTTGACTTGGCCAATATCTGCAATGACACCTGCCTTCAAATACCGGAATATACACGGATGCTCTCAAATTATATTACTAATTAGTGTAATGGGGGTTTGAGTCATTTTTACCCAAAGGTAATTTTGTTTGAATAGAGGGAAAGAGTAATTCGCTGATGCGCAAACTGGTTTTTTTTCAGTGTGTTATAAATATTCGTACGTTAGAAACCTAAAATATATGTTTTTTTCTGATCAGATTATGCATCATCATCAACATTCTGATCATGAAAATTACATAATCCCCATTTCAGGTTAAATGAACCTTTTCTTATTGATTTTAATGGTGTTTAGATGATATTGTTGTACACGCCAGTTATTATTATTGTTTTAAGGAGTAGTGCTCATTACATATAACTTTGTAGGATGTGATAAATATTTTTATTTAAATGATGGCTAATTACTATAATTATATCTAACCCTTTTGGAGTTCAGACCATTTTATTTTTTACTAAAACTACATTGTGTCTTCCTGTTCGCATTGGTTATAAAGTAATTGTTAAAGTCGGTCAGTATGAAAGCACGATGGAAATCATTTTGAAAATTCAATCAGCATGCATTTGATTCATAAACCTTTCATTTCAATCTATCTTTCCAACTGGTTGAATACATTTTTGGCAATAACAATATTTAAAGTTCAATTGCAACTTAAAAGGGCTTTTTGCTGTCAAATTCATGTTCACCGATTTGACTCAAATTCTCATAATTTATTAAATACTAAAACGTCTATCCAAATTACAAAAAGTCCTAAAGAAACAATTTACAATACATGGACTTGTTATAATGTATCAACATTTCGTTTGTATTTAGGACTAGATGACATATACATCGAGATGATTTCCGAAAAATTCTGTAGGTCATATGACCTGATGTACGCATAAATATAAAAGCAGAGTCAATCACAGTCTATCATGACGATTTTTCTAGGTCTGTTGGATTTCAAGTCATAGATTAAAAAAATATGTAAATCATCGGTTCACCTGTATTAGAATGCTTTTTAGTGTTCTTGAGTCTACGAAAGGGTTTTCCGGTGACTGCTTTGCATCACCTTTCTACGTTGACATTCTTTTCTTTTTAACAACCAAATATGATTAACAGTTTTATTGACACAAATGGACGACATTAAATTAGAGTCTATGACAAATGTGATGATTCCAAATTTCCAATTTTCAACTCATCAGTAATACACCCTCTGCTCCATCGCATGGCGTTTACATACCTCAATTAATGCAGTACGCTCATGCATCACACTATACTAGACTTCATTAACCCTATTGTCCCTTACACAAAAACTACTCCAACAGAATTATGAGAAAGAACGACTGAAATCGCAAAACATAAGTTTTACGACCACCCTCACAATTAGTTTTATCGATACGGTGTGTCGGTTTCTCAACTCACTACTGACATGTTTTCGCAGTCATATATCTGTAGATACCTGAATAGTTGTCTGATCTGTGATTTTACCGATTGTGTCATATTCCCAATTGTTTCATTTTGACTGAATGTTGACTCAGACGGGGGTGATGCATATCACAGCAGGAGACGAACCCGGTCTCGCTCCCTTTTGAGTTCATTCAATTCCCTCAGTTTTTATTTGTTACTTTGATTTACCTTTTCTCTATCGATTAATGAAATTTGAACATCGGTACACAACTCTCACCTCCACTGTTAACATTATTCGAACAATAAGATTTTTTTCAATTATACCAGTTACAGATGACTTTAGACAGATTTGGAATAACTTTTTGGAATTTTTCCAAGCTAGGTTCTGAGGATGAACAATTGAAATTGGTTTTAAGTCGACATAATAGCCATATGCAGTCAAGAGTATATCAAACCAATTCCGACGCAGGTTATATAAGTATGACTTAATAGGTTTGATTATATAAAGATTTTTATGTTATGAATCTTTACAGGTTTACAGATTACTTCAGATTCGTGACTCGGTACTTATACATCCCGCCATTGTGTTACTGCGCTACGGTCATTTTTGTATTCTTGTCTTTCACTTTTGTTTATGTACTTTGTCTATAGAGTGTCTGTATGCCATTTTGTTTTTCTTTGTTGAAATAGTTATTTGTTTTATAATGATTAAGATTATAACACAATGTTGACTGCTCAGTGTACCCCAATTTTTGACATTTTTACCTATTATGTCCGTTTGCTTTGTTCACACATTGTTGTCAATATAATGGAATTCTATGCGACTGTCATACAAGTGAGAGGTTTAGCTAGGTATAAAACCAAGTTTAATCCACCACTTTATACATAATGAAATGCCTGTACCAAGTCAGGAATATGACAGTTGTTTTCCATTCGTTTGATGTGTTTGAGCTCTTGATTTTGCCATTTGATAAAGGATTTTCCGTTTTGAATTTTCCTTGGAGTTCTGTATTTTTGTTATTTTACTGTATTCATTTCGATAATACACTTTTGGAACACGCAAGGTCTGCTAACTCTTTGGTTTTGTGTTTCCCAATCAAGTGTTTTGTATAAGGTCTGATGACTATTTGTTGTCTTATCGTATTTTCTCTATCTTTTTGCCAAAGTGTTGTCTGGTTTTATTCAACTTTAGGTTTTCAATTGCCCTTGGTATCTTATAACTCTTGAGTATCAAACTCAAAATGTAACAAAAGCTATTATGAGTACAGAAGACATTTACTGCAAGTTCAATTCTATTCTTCCATTAAAACGAAGCAATTGGTGAAAACATTGTACCTAAAAGAGAGACGAAAGATACCAAAGGGACATTCAAACTCATAAGTCGAAAATAGACTGACAACACCATGGCTGAAAAAGAAAAAGACAAACAATAGTACACAAAATACAACATAGAAAACTAAAGAATGAGCAACACGAACCCCAACAAAAACTGGGGATGATCTCGGATGCTGCGGAAGGGTAAGCAGATCCTGCTCCAAATGTGGCAACCTTCGTGTTGCTCATGTTAGTACAAACCCGATAATAAGTCTAATTCAATATGTCACATTCGGGGAAAAGTGGGCGGTATTGTAGTTACGACATTTGGAAAATATCCGCTATCATCTGTGAAACGGATATTCCATAACGGTCAACCAACTAGTGATGGCGTCCGTAAAATTTACGAAGAGATGATTTCAACTACACCACTTGGAACTCTTGGTTTAATAGCTTCCTTGTGATCAGCAACCCTCTATCCAGGAAATCATGATAGGAAATACAAGTCCTGGAATATCGTATCAACTGGGAGATATATACTCCGTATGCAGGCGCTGCAGGAATGTTGCCACATAGAAATGGAAAGTTTACAATTGGGAAGCTGAAATCATCTCTTTTGTCGTAAAGTTTTGTTTTCAACGGACCCTCATTGTCAATTTCTAGATGTAAGTCAAGATATGAGGCAGACTTAACTGTTTCTGTTGTATCCTTTATATCAAGTTCAATGGGATAGATGCGTTCAACGTAGTCACTAAATTATGAATCATTTAGTGAGAGAACATCATCTTTATAGCGGAAAGTAACGTTAAAGGATACTGCTTCTATCAACGACCTCACAGCCTAAATCAATTCGGAAAGAGTATCTACGTCTCCTTTCTCGCGTTTAACCCATTGCCTGGCATAATCCTCGACTGAATCCATCAGTATTTGAAGTTGTGTTTCCAATTGATGGATTTAGGCTCACGATATTTCGGGCCTTTGGATGACACAATTCGCAGAGAAGTGTTATTAACAATGTTTAGGTCGAACAAATGTAAAACAATGTTATTTCTTATTAATCTGTGTGTAACAGTATTTGAAGTGTTTTCACTGTGCGTTTTTTTGTTTTGCAGTATTCAAAACGTTTGTGGAAATTTGTCGCAGTATTCAAAGTGTTTGTGCTGCAGATGGTAAATATGTGCTGTTTAATACTACTTCAAAACCAATTATTGTAAACCTTTATTAAAGAACGATATAAAGGAACAATTTACAAACTTAATACCGAAATATTATTAAAAAGTCTTTCATAAACCCCAAAACATCAACAAAGATATAAAACAACTAAAAACAACAGCTTATAAAACAAGGTGTAATTTAACATAAAAGAATAACCCGAGGTAAAACAGTAATAACAACAGTCAATATTCTTTTTGAA